GTGTTCAGTTCACCCCGCCCTGTCTCGTTATGATTATCAGTGTCACCTGTGTTCCCCGTGTGTTCCCACTTCCCTCGTTAACCCTCTGTGTATTTCTGTCTGCGTCTCCCTCTGTTCAGTGTGACGTCGTCCCTCATGTTGTGTGGATCTCCCTGTGTCTCTCTGCGTATGTTAGTTTACTTTTCCCAGTTTAGTTTTGTATTTCCTATGTTCTGCCATTCCAGCATTAAAGCTGTGATTTTGAGTTCATCCCCGTGTCTGTGAGTTTTGCGTTTGGGTCCTCCTCCTGCCTGCCACACAGCCGAGCCTTGACAGTACGACGTCACCAGTAATGGACCCAGCAACTCACAACCCCTCCGCTGAGCTCCGGGAGGATTTGATCTATACGGTGGAGTACCACTGTCAGGAGTGGGAGGCGCTGCCAGGAGACGAACACCGGGAGGTCGTAGCCGCCCGTCTACAGCGGATGGTGTCCGGACTCCCGTGGCTGTTCGGCGCGCTGCACCCCCACATCCGGGACTTCCTTGTTTCCACCGTAGGCGTCCGCCCGGAGCTGCCTCTCCAGTGTGAGGGGTCGGAGGACGTTCAGCCCGGTCCGCTGGAGGATTCGCGGCCCGGCTCATCTCCTCCCCCCTCTCGGCGAAAACGGCGCTCACGCCGCCGCCGCCCTAACGTTTCTGAGCAAACTCCGGTGGTGAGTGACACTAACTGTTTCTTCCATGCCACTTCCAAGTCGGACCAACTCGGACAATATTCTGCTCCTGAGTCCGCTGTTTTTCAGGTCCGTAACACATCAGAAATGAATAGTGAGTTTGAATATGACTGTGTTTCCAGGGCTCATAATGTTTCTAAGTTCACCTCCGCACCTATTAAGCACGAGACTGAGTTCATTACCCCCCTAGAGACTGCTGTTCATGCTGAATTAAAGAATCCTGGCACTGTAAGCTCCATGCGCGTCATCCCAGAGGCCATTAACTCCGTGTCTGGTAATTCTGGGTCGGTTAATCCTGAACCTGCATTGCCTACCCTCACGCCCATGTTTCAGTGTGACTACTTTTCCTGTGCTCCTCCCAGGTCAGCAGCAATTAACACACAGACTGATAATCTCACCTTAGAGAAGCAAAAGACTATTGTTGAGCTGCATACTCATGAACAACACCGTGAAGTTAACAGTTCTGAGGTCCCTGTACCTGCTGAGTATAAGACTGTGAATGGTGTTTCTTCACTCCTGGACTATGCTGCTCTCCAACCTATATACTTAGAAACCGTTTGTGTGAATGCTCCTGTGTCCGCAACGGATCCCTTTGTGCTCGGTATTACTGACTCTGCTAAACCTGGATCTTCCTGTGCTGTGACTGTTTTAGAGACTGCTACTCCTAACATGGACAGCTTAAGGCCTACAGAGTTGCCAGGAGTGACTCGCCATGAATCTCTGTTAGCCGCCCGGCCCGAAGCTCAGTCGCCACCTCCACCACATTCAGCCTCGCTTCCCATAGCACAGTCACATCCACAGCCTGACTTACTACAAACCTTATTTCAATCCTTAGCCCAGTCAATAGCTCAGTTGGTAGAGGAATCATCGGCCTTATCGTCAGCTCGGTTTCCAACTTCACAACCATCATTTTCCCGACCCACAGCCACTTCAGCCACTCCTTCACCCGTTACACCTCCACTACAACCATCACTGCAGTCTCCAGTGTCCCCAGTGCAGTCTCCAGTGTCCCCAGTGCAGTCTCCAGTGTCCCCAGTGCAGTCTCCAGTGTCCCCAGTGCAGCCTCCTTTAGCACAGTCACCCACTCAACCACCAGCACCACAACCGTCACTACCTCTAGTTCATTCCCCTGTGGAGTCATTAACTCCACCACCTACTCCACTCTCACCACCACCGTTACTACAGACATCAGTTCAGGTCCCCGTGTGTCCGGCAGCTCAGGTCCCCGTGTGTCCGGCAGCTCAGCTCGCACCTGAACCTTTGGCCCAGTTCCCCGTAGCAGTGTGGTTTTCTAGCCAGCTTAACATTGAGCCCGGGGTCCCAATCCTCTCTGGCTCTACATCGGCTCCTGCTGGAAGCTCGGATGAGCTCATCCAGGACTCCGCGGCTCCCACGCCGCCATCTCCCTCGTCCGCTGGGGGTTCCAGTGAGCCCGGCCAGCACCTCCCTGTCTCCGCTGGAGGGTCCGAGGGGCCCGTTCAGCCTCCTGTCTCCGCTGGAGGGTCCGAGGGGCCCGTTCAGCCTCCTGTCTCCGCTGGAGGGTCCGAGGGGCCTGTCCAGCCGCCATCTGCGACCGCTTCATCATCGCCTGGGCCAGCCTCTGCCTGTGCTTCTGCTACGCCTGGTCCGGCCTCAGCCTCTGCAGCTCCGCCTGGTCCGGCCTCAGAGTCTTCGTCTGCTGCAGCCTCCTCAGAGTCTTCGTCTGCTGCAGCCTCAGCCTGTGCTTCGCCTGGTCCCGTCTCGACTGGTCCTGTGCCCACCGGGCCTCGGCCAGTACGCCTGACACTGGAGAGCCGCCGCCGCTGCCTTCCGCGCGGCCGGCCCCCTGAACTGCACCGTCATCGCCTGAGTGGCCGCCGTCGCCTTCCGCACGGCCGGCCCCCGGACCGCCTTCGCCTGGGTGGCCGCCGTCGCCGCCGCCTCCCGCGCGGTCGGCCTCCTGAACTGCACCGTCATCGCCTGAGTGGCCGCCGTCGCCTTCCGCACGGCCGGCCCCCGGACCGCCTTCGCCTGGGTGGCCGCCGTCGCCTTCCGCACGGTCGGCCCCCGGACCAGCGCTGTCATCGTCGCCGCCGCCTCCCGCGCGGTCGGCCTCCTGAACTGCTCCGTCGTCTCCTTCGCCGCCGCCTCCCGCACGGTCGGCCTCCTGAACTGCTCCGTCGTCTCCTTCACCGCCGCCGTTGCCTTGCGCACGGCCGGCCTCCTGAACTGTTTCCGCGTCGCCGCCGTTGCCTTGCGCACGGCCGGCCTCCTGAACTGTTTCCGCGTCGCCGCCGTTGCCTTGCGCACGGCCGGCCTCCTGAACTGTTTCCGCGTCGCCGCCGTTGCGTTGCGCACGGCCGGCCTCCTGAACTGTTTCCGCGTCGCCGCCGTTGCCTTGCGCACGGTCGGCCCCCTGAACTGCTCTGTGTTTGGGTTATTTTCTTGGGCTCCGGTGTTTGCTGTGCTCTTTTGTTTTCTGTTCCGGGCCCTCCGTCCTGGGCCCCCGCCGCCCGCCCTGGGTTGTTTTCTGTTTGGTTTTGTTTTTCTGTGTTTGGGCTGTCTGGAGCCAGCCCTTGAGGGGGGGGTACTGTCATGGTCCTGGGCCATGTTGGCCCAGTGTTCTTAGTTTCCTTGTATGTTTGTATTTTATTCCATGCTTCCCCTGCCCATTATGTCTAAGTTCTCCCCGTGCTCTCTCTTCCCCCTGTGTGCCCTCTATGTATTTATGAGCCCTCGTCCCCTTTCGTGTTTATTCCATGTCTCCCCTGCCTGTTACGTTGGTGTTCTACTCGTGCTCTCTCTCCTCCTGTACTTCCTGTTTCACCTCTCCCGTCAGTGTTCAGTTCACCCCGCCCTGTCTCGTTATGATTATCAGTGTCACCTGTGTTCCCCGTGTGTTCCCACTTCCCTCGTTAACCCTCTGTGTATTTCTGTCTGCGTCTCCCTCTGTTCAGTGTGACGTCGTCCCTCATGTTGTGTGGATCTCCCTGTGTCTCTCTGCGTATGTTAGTTTACTTTTCCCAGTTTAGTTTTGTATTTCCTATGTTCTGCCATTCCAGCATTAAAGCTGTGATTTTGAGTTCATCCCCGTGTCTGTGAGTTTGCGTTTGGGTCCTCCTCCTGCCTGCCACACAGCCGAGCCTTGACAAAAAGAGCCAAACGGGACAGGCAAAAAGAAAAAGAAAAAAAACAATGAATAATTCCAATAATGTCACGATCTGCAGCAGCAGATTGTGTGGAGCGGAGAGTGAAAGGACCCAAAATCAGACACGTGGAAACAGGATGGAATTTACCAGAAAGCGAGGCGTTCATTGAGACTGCATGAAAAATACAAAGCAAAGGAAAAACAGGACTAAGACACAAATACCTAAAATGGGGAAAAACCAACACTGTGAATGTCGTGCATGAAGCATGAAACATGAAAGCTGTAACTTCAATAACTCTGATATTCTTTATTATTAACTGGGAGAAAAAGTGCCGACTCAGTCTTTTGTTCCAGGACAGACTGTCTCTGTCAGATGTAAAACCAGCAAGCGTCCTCCTGACAGACCGTGGTCTTTTTCTTGTGTTAAGAGGTTTAGTGAGTTTCTCATTTTGCTGTGAACACTAGAAGAGATTAACTTCTATATAAGTTGATTAAAGCAGACCTGTAGTCTCTCATCTGCCTGCATTCCTGTGTTTGTTCTGTTAGTCTGTTCTTAACATCATGTCCACTGTCGAGCTCAATTCTGTCGTCATTATTTGAGTCCAGTTATTGTCTCGCTGCCTTCTGTGAGTTACTCAGCCTCTGTTTTGTGTGCTTTAACTCTCAGACTCCTGATCTCCACCTCATCCTGACAATTAGAGATCCTCAGCTAAGTCTCCACCTGCTTCACCTCTGCCACCACCAGCTTCTAGACTCTTCTCTGCTTTGGTGCTTCATCAGAGTTTCACTGCCAAATAGTTCATTAATCAAACTTCAGTAAATCTTCACTTGAACTTGATTTAAATGATCTCTGTTTAAACATACAGATGATACCCTGCTCTTTAATTTTACTTATTAGGTTTTAGATCAGATTAAAATGTAGATCATAAAACAGCTTTGAGACTAGAAATTATGAAGAGCACACAGATAATCTATGGTTGACATGACCTCAACAGCTTATAGAGAAATATTTAATATGTGGATTAAAAAATATATTTAACCATTTTCACTGCACATTACACTTGATGTGTCTGTTTACATTTTTATTTTGGTCTGGTTTTACAAATATTACAAAATCTTTATTTTTTAATGTGCATTTATTAAACTCACAGAGTCAAAGAACATGTTTTCTCTGTACGTTTTTATTCTTTTAAGAGTTTGAAATATCAGCTTTACAACAGACACAAAAGGATGAAACTAGAGGAGATTGTTGCTCTGATTGTTGTCATTATGAGATGGAAACATGACTGTTTGATGAGTTTATTTTTTAAATCTGTAAACACAAAGAAACAAAGAGACAGAAGAAAATCAACATCAAAGACTCAGTGATTGACATCAGGACTGGGAACACTGGTCTCTCCTCAGTATCTCTGAGACCGGAGTGTGGGAGCCCTGGGTGGCCTCACAGGTCACAGAGCCCACCTTCCCCCACTGGTCTGCAGTGAGCGTCAGGGTGCTGCTCCAGCTGTAGAGGCCGTCATTCTGCAGCACTCCAGGAGTCCTGCTCTCCTCCCCTCTGATGCTGCTGCTGCCACTGCTGTCGCTCGTCTTCCAGGACAGACTCCAGTCTGAGGGGAAGCCCTTGTTGGCCACACACATGAGCGTGGCCTTCCCCTGCTCCAGCTCCTTGTTGGAGGGACCCAGCACCTTCAGGGCGGGGCGGGCATCACCTAGGAAACACCAATCAGCTTAGAGGACAGGAACCACAATTTGAATTTCTCCGTTAAGAAGTTTCTGTCAGGTGTTTTTTCTGCTCCACCAGTCATTCACTCACACATTGTTTCACTTCCCTTTCAGAAACCTCTCATGCATATCAGCACAGAGAGAATCATCACACAGTTTGAGCTGAAATATGTTCAAACTACACTGGAAATAAAAGAAGCAGATGTGGAAACATTTACAGCAGAAGCTTTAAAATGATTAGAAGTCTAAATCATGGACGACTGAAGACATTAGTGGACACAAGCACAGAGCAGCTACTCATTCATATAGATTTGAAATGTTATTGAACAGCTCACATGATTTCAAACTAAATCTGAAACATCTGACACGATAAAAACATCAGAAAGCAAACTTTAACTCATCCAAACAGCAGCTGATGTGGTGGAAATTTACAAACTAATCATAAGATGATGAAGTTTACTCTTGTCTACATTTTACTGTGACAGAAATGTAGATTAAACAAGAGAAACTCGCAGAGCTCATCTGAATTAGTCCAGTAAAAAGGACAAACATCAAACACTAAATTATTTTAAATAAAAAAAATACTTTTGTCTCATCTAAGCAGCCTAACAAGTAGTTATTAAAAAAATTGATACAATATTTAATAATAAACACAGTTTAATTAACTTACTTCCAAATTCCAGTCTGGTTCCTCCACCAAAAGTCCACCACAGTGATACAAACTCATTGAGGCGCCGTACAAAAACCTCTGACTGTAGAGAGACACGGCTCTCTGACTCTGTCAGACTGAACTAAACCTACAAGCCCTCAAAATGCAACTTTATCATCAGAACTACAAATAATAATTAATAATATGAAACATCCCAGATTTTCATTGGAAATTGTCCTGAGTGTCTGAATATTCATTTCCAAAGCTGACTTTGTTTCTTAGGACAAAATTTATGAATAAAATAATTAATCAGTTACACAAAAAGTTTCCTAGCCTTTCATATTAAATGAAATTAAAGAAAAGAAAATTAAATGAAAGAGAAAAAGGGCATAGAAGTAACTTTGTTTTTGACTTACTTCCAACATCCAGTCTGGTTCCTCCACCGAACGTGTACCACAGTGATACAAACTCATTGAGGCGCCGTACAAAAACCTCTGACTGTAGAGAGACACGGCTCTCTGACTCTGAGACAAACAAACTCAACAAAATCATTCACTGTTTGTATCATTTTGTCAGCTCATGTGAAAACTGAAAATATTACAGTGCATCACATTTAAATAATGAATAATTTATTTGGAATGTAAAACTTTTGACTTTGATTTCTTGGGACTTTTTCCATCCATCCATCTTCATCCGCTTTATCCGAGGCCGGGTCGCGGGGGCAGCAACCTAAGCAAAGAGACTTGGGACTTTTTCTGATATCAAAATCTGAGAATAACAGAGTGGATCCAATTTACAGAAATGTAAATGTTAATTAATATGCATCAGTGTAAATGAAGACTTTGTGATTTCCTACATTTTTAGAGACTATATTCATAAATATAGAAAAATCAGATATATTTGTGTTTGATGCTCTGATAAACTGGCTGATCCACTCCATACAAAGATGCATATATATTGACAAAGGACACAAACATACAACGGTACTGAGCCAGCACTGAACAGCAAGACTAAGGCTACGTTCACACTGCAGGCGAAAGTGCATCAAATCCAACTTTTTTGACCCTAAGCGACTCATATCCGATCATGGTATGACAGAAAGCACAAATCCAATATTTTCCAAATCCGATCTAGTTCACTTTCGTATGTGGTACTGAATCCGATACATATCTGACGTTTTAGAAAGCGACTGCTGTGTGAATGGTCATGTTGCATTAAATCCGTCTTTTACATCACTGACACAAGACAGGTGCCAATTATCAGCGCCAGAATAGACAAACGAGAAAGCATGACAGCGGAAACTGGAGACGGAGCGAGTCAATGGACAAAAACTGAGGTTTTCGACTTTATTAGCATATGGGGAGACAATTCTATTCAAGCTAAACAACACGGCCATTGTTAAAGCACAAGCTCTCTTTTTTCTCAGTGTCCTTCATTCTCTAATTAATTTGTAAAATTCTGTTGGCTGTGCAAAAGTTGATAGACTGCTGCAACAACACCTACTAGCTCTGTAGCCGCCATTTTTACTTCCGTAAACAGAGCGCGTTGTGTGTGACGTCTTCTTTTGCTCATGCGGGCCGATTCGAGGGCCGTGAACCGTTCACAGTAGAGTGTGTTTGATGTCACATTTTATTTGTAGTGTGAACAACCAGACAAAAAAATCGCAATTGAGCATTAAGACCTGCAGTTTGAACGTAGCCTAAGACTGTGAACTCTACTGGAGGGATGAAGGCCATTTATGGGCTCAAATTGTGGTCATAAATATTTTGTACTTGTGAATCAAATGCATAGTTGTGAACTGAGTTTTGTAACCTTGTAAACCAAAATATGTGAAAGTTTTATGTTTGTGCATCTATAGATAAAAATTTGTGTGTGTGTAAAAAAGATTTGTGTTTGTAAACATTTTTTACACGAGTTATAATTTTTTTTGTTGAGGTCTGGTTACAGATATAAAGCAAAAAACTATGTGCAAATCTCTGCGCTCATGTGTGTGACTCTCAACTTACAAATTTTGACCCGATTTTTCTTCCTTTCAGCTAATTGGTCAATGTCATGTCAATCACAAATTTAACAATTCAATCAGAGAACAGATGGGTTTGGCTGTCGGAGGGGCGCTTTACTGAGCTTCAGGTCCTGGAAGGGTAATACAGTTGGAAGCTGGAGGATCACTATATAAATATCAGATAAGCTTCATACAAACTAGGTCGCTTAATGATAGCTGTTGAAAGCATAAAGTTGTGGTATACCAGCAGTCAGAACTACCACTGCTTTTCTAGTACGCCAGTTATCTTAGCCACAGTTTCTCATGAATGAACATCATGTTTCCATGTGTAATTTGACATTTTTGGGAAGTTTTTTCTTTTTATCATTATTGTTATCTTTTGCATATGGAAGTTTAGGCTATGAGGATGATTGGAGATGAACAAAAATGTTGATGTAATATATACAGAATGTCAGAAAAGAAAAGTCTGTTATTGATGTGATTAGCAGAGTAATCCAAAGAGTGGAAATGTGCTGGAAATTTATTTTATTTTATGAATTTGTCACATGTTTTAGTAATATCACTTTTGGGTCACTTCAAGGTTCACATGTGGGGAAGCATTCAGCTTTAACTCTATTGCACAAAGTCAGACATCGTGAGAAAGTTGGTGACACCCAGAGGGGGAGAATTCAACAGGTGGTGAAGTCTTTTGTTAATCAGGTCTTTGAGGATGGGGAGAAGAGGCAAGGAGCAGTCTCTATGTGACACTGGAAGAGGAGATAAAGTTGTAAACTCTCTCTCTCTCTCTCGGACGAGACAAGGGTGAGAACAACAACTGTTTGACTGTATTTAAAGAGGGCTGTGCCATTCATCTTCAGGCTACGTCCACACTAGCCCAGATAGATTTGAAAACGGTGTTTTCATCTGAAAACACTCCACGTCCACACTAGGGTTTTCAGTCGTTTTCACAGAGTTGCGGGTCCACGCATGTGTGAAACGCAAGAAGATTCGACCTGCTTCATTTCTGTCTGCCGCGTATTTACTTTCCAGCTCTTTAAACGTCACGGCAAAATGTTGAGGAAAAGCACAGAGTTTTTTAAATGGACTAACAAGGAGGTGGAGTTGTTGCTGCGAGTAACACAAAAGTACAAAGTTGCAAAAGCGAGTAAGAGTTAAAGAATTTGAAGAAAAGCTATCTGGAGCATGTACAGACTGATATGAGTCTTAATAGAGCAAACAAAACAACTGCTGTATAATGCCCTCCGCTATCTTAGTTTAATTGGTCAAATGACTGCATCACATGACTAACATGCATCATCGTTTTAGAAAGTCTCCGTTTTCGCTGTCCGCACATGATGCGAACACACCATTTTCAAATGTATGCATTTTCGAGAGCACAGCATTTTTCTTGAGCGAAAACACTGTCTCAGTGTAGACGGGACGCCAAAACAGAGAGAAAACGATGTGTTTTCCAATGAAAACGCATTAGTGAGGCCGTAGCCTTAGAGACTGTGTTTCAGTGCCCCACTGAATGTCCTCTCTCTCACCTGCTTGGGAATTAAAAGGTGTTGGCTACATCTCATCGTGTCTGTGGACTGTTAATGAAATTTCCATGACATCATTCTGCAGTGACAAAGTGAGGTAAGTAACTCACAACAAAAGAGCAAAAACTGAACAAGTGTTTGTTTACATTGTTGAGTCAACATTGATTATAAAACCTTTGGTGCTCTTTGGCACTGATTCTGCTGTTTGTTCTAAAGTCTTTTAATTATGATTATGTCGCCTCATTCAGTGTCAATGATGGTGATGATACAGGAGGATAAAGGTGAGCTCTAACACATCTGTTCAAATTCATACAGCGTTCACATCCCCTCACTGTAGGGGTCGAGTTATATTTTTCCCTAACACCAGAAAAAGTCGCCAGATTTGTCGCTAGTCGCTTTTTAGAAAAGAAGTCGCTAAGGGGGTCTGAAAACTTGCTAAAAATAGCTACAAAGTCGCTAAGTTGGCAACACTGGACTGACGTTTAGTCCGTTTACAGCATCCTGCCATGCGATTGCATTTGCCCCTAACCATTGGGAACCCTCACATTAACTTTTATCGAGTGGAAAAAAGTCCTCCGTTAGCGTTCGTCCTCCAGCTTCACTGTTTATGTTATGCTAACATAGCTTTGTCGTGCTAGCGATCACGTAGCACATCATTATATACCAGGTAGTCCAACTTCAGTAACCCTACAAACGTCACTGCTGTTTAGTTTCCTGTCTTCATTTATGTTGGAAGTGATAGCAGAGCTGTACATTTTAATTTGTTTCATAAATCTCTCAGTCAGAACATGGTGTAATATATTTAGATGGAAGTCTAAATATAAATTCTGTTTTCATGGATGCCCGGGTGTTAAACTTAATTGTTATACCTGGTAGAGCAGCCACACTGATCATTTTATTAAAGATGAAAGAATTTATAAAGTATTTCAACTCTCAGTAATACTGCAGTGATCATTTGACTTAAGGACCTGCAGCGGAGTTTGGGCCCAGGCATGGCTAACGACATCAGACTTAAAGAACGGATACACAACATGAGGCGAGAGAAGGAGAAAAAAGCTCCACCCAGACTGAGCTCCTGATGGGTGAACAGTTTGAGGACAGAAAAAAAACCCACCTCAGCACAAAAGCACATGAATCTTAATACACCATAGAAGCACATGACAAGAAACAGGCATGAGTAAGGGGTGAGAGTAAGTCGGTCTAGACAGCACATCCGGTCCTGCAGCATGGGCTGGGACTAGACCCGCCGTTCGACCTCAGCCTTGGAGATAAGCGTTCAAAGGTGTTTGGAATCCAGGATGGGAACGAAGAGTCTACAGAGTCTGTCATCAGAAACAGTTTTTTGTTGGTCAGCTCCAACCTTGAGACCACAGCTGGCGCCGATATGGTAGTCACATGAAATGATGGTGGTTTCCTTTAGTGCGAACAACTGCATGTCAATTTTACAGTCGATCTAAATGTCCATCAATCTCCCGTTGGAGATTTTGCGCTCAAAGAGCATTTGTTAACTGTCTATAAATTCTACAGGGTTCATGTGTATTACATGCTAAATATGCTGTGAAAAACTTTTTTTAAACAAGTCAGTCAGATGATTTCCATAGAGAGGCACTTTGCATCAGCAGCACCATGCTCCAGTGCTCTGGGAGAGTTTATAGTCCTGAGAGTTGAACACTGGATGACTGACAGCTGTCCTTCATCACAACAGAAGCCACAGAAATCCTCCTCATCAAAAACATGACTTTGATCTGCGTCCTCATCTGGACTCTCCTCTGCTGCTGCTTCACAGGTAAAGTCCAGAGAATCAAACTGCTCTCCTCTATCAACATCTGTCCCTCTGAAATGAAGCCCACAAAACCATGAAGCTGCTTTATGTTTTTGTCTCTGTGTCCTCAGAGTCTAAACCTCAGGTCCCAGTGACTCAGCCTGGAGCAGTGAGCTCTGCTGTGGGAGGAACTGTGAGCATCAAGTGTAGGACCAGTCAGGATGTTTATGGCAACAACTATTTATCCTGGTACCAACAGAAAGAT